AGTCATATGGTCACTGTATGTTTAACTTTTTCAGGGGCTACTAAACCATTTTCCAAAACAGCAGTGCCATTTTACGTTTCCACCAGCAATGTACGAAGGTTCTAGTCCACATCCTCGCAAGCACTTATTGTCTTGTGTGTGTGTGTGTGTGTGTTTTTTTAAATATACTTTATTGATTTTTCACAGAGAGGAAGGGAGAGAGATAGAGAGTTAGAAACATCGATGAGAGAGAAACATCGATCAGCCGCCTCCTGCACATCTCCCACTGAGGATGTGCCCGCAACCCAGGTACCAGCCCCTGACCGGAATCGAACCCGGGACCCCTCAGTCCACAGGCCGATGCTCTATCCACTGAGCCAAACCGGTTTTGGCCTTGTGTGTGTTTTAATAGTCATCCCAGTGAGTGTAAAATGATATATCAGTGTTGTTTTGATTTGCATCTCATTAATGATTAACGATGGTGAGCATCTTTCATGTGCTGTTCAGCTAGCTATCAGCAATGGTGGCACTGCTGATTAAAATTCTCCCTCTTAACATTCTTTTCTCAGCCTTTAAACTTACCCTCTTTTTATTTGCCTCCTTCCCCACTGTATTCTTAACCTGAATCCTACTTCTTCTCTTCCCAAAGTACAAATGCTGAAGTGTCTCAATTCTGAATTTTTAGCTCTGCCTGCTGTTTTTCTTCATGACACCTATTTCCACCTAAAATTAAATCATATATTTATTCATACAATTGTTTCTTTTCTTCACTGCCCATTGAGTTGTAGCCTTATGGGGTCTGTCTTGTTCATCACTATATCTCTGGTTATAGACTGGCACCTGGAAATAAATATTTTTGTAAAAATAAGTGTATTAGAAAAAAGTAAATGGATGCTATGTGAATAAAGAACAGGTTCCATAAGTAAGTTTCTAGATTGCTAATTGAACAAACTTAACTTTCCCTTTTTAAAAAATATTTTGTTATTGATTTTAGAGAGGCAGGAAGAGGGAGAGAGTGATAGAAACATCAATGATGAGAGAGAATCATTGATCAGCTGCCTCCTGCATGCCCCCACTGGGGACTGAGCCCACAGCCCGGGCATGTGCCCTGTCTGGGAATTGAACCATGACCTCCTGGTTCATAGGTCCACACTCAACCACTGGGTGCTCTCCTGTGCTAACTTTTTCATCTACTCCTCTCAGATAGTTTAATATGCTAGTCAACATTGTAGAATTTATTTGACCCTGAAAACTTTTTGGTATGCTTTCATACCAAAAAGTCTTAGAGGTGGAAATAAGTGTCATGAATTTTTTAAAATACTTTTTCAACTGAGGCAGCTAAACTGCTTGAGACCCTAGCAATTTTTAAAACCTCATTAAAAAAAAAATAAAGTCTAGCAAAATTTTGTAGTGTTGTATTAATAGGACGCTTTGTTAGCAGGTAGAAAGTAAATTGTGGTCACTGAGGCACAATATTGTTATCAGAGAATTGCACGGGTGGAATTCTTCCATTGCTAGTGGGAGTGGGGTTCTTGGGGCACTGCTGGAATAAGCCTTTCCAGAGGCCAGGCAGCTAAACTGCTTGAGACCCTAGCAATTTTTAAAACCTCATTAAAAAAAAAATAAAGTCTAGCAAAATTTTGTAGTGTTGTATTAATAGGAGGCTTTGTTAGCACGTAGAAAGTAAATTATGGTCACTGAGGCACAATATTGTTATTAGAGAATTGCACGGGTGGAATTCCTCTGTTGCTAGTGGGAGTGGGTTTCTTATGATATCTTGAGAAAAAGAATTTTCAAAGACGCTCATGGGAGAATGAGTGCTTTTTATTTGTGTAGAGTTATATCTCTCTGTTTGCAAAGTCCCATTTCCCTTAAGCCAGTCCTGGAAAAGGTGCTGCCAGGGTTCAGCGAAAAGGTACAGCTGGGGTTTCAGTAGAGCTAAAAGCAAAGCCAGTGTCCAAAGTTTCTGTTCCGTGGTGGAGCTGAGTCCGGCACTGCAGCACGCTAATTCCAGTCCATCAGTCCGTTGGGTGCGGCCACATGGCTGTGGGCATGTGGATGAATGCAGGGAAGTGCACCACCTGCAAAATGAGAGTCAGGAGCACAAGAGGGCCAAGAGGAGGGAATACCTTTGTTCAGGAGCTTATGTATTTCAGATTTCTCGCCCTTGCAGGGGCCACGCCTATTCTGGCCAAAGACATGCTCCCAGGTATGATTGACAGCTAATCACCTTCCCCGCGTCATTCAGACCTTACTGGGCATGCATCTGTTGTCCACTCCTTTCCTCCAGAGATCTGTGGGGAACAGACCTGGAGCGTATTAAACTGCAGCTTTCTGGCAAAGCTGTACAAATGGCATGTCTGTATTACCTGGCTTTCTCTTTGCTCCTTTCCTGTTAGTTAATTAATTAATAACTAGAGTAATTAAAACGGTATCAATATGAACTCATTAAGAATAGGTTATGTCAAGCCCCTATCTGTGCTGTTCATAGGGGTTTTTATCAAAGTGATAGTCTATCAGAAGGCCTTGGCAATGTATTCCTTCACAACAGCGAGATTGTGAGCTGGCTTTCTCGTGTTTTAATCATGATTTCTCTTTTCTGGGAAGTGGAGTGGGTTGTCAGGATCTTGAGATCAGTCTGTCACTTAAGAATTTATGTCAAGACATTTGGCTGGGTTGAGGTCTATGCCCTTGAGGGAAATTACCTGTACAGTAAACTGTTTCCTGTCATCGGTGTCACAGTGAATTTCAAATGTTACCAATGCTCAAGAGTGGCACTTCCAGGACTGGGTGGTAACAGCCCATAGAAATAGCCCCGAACTCTAAACCCAGGAGAGCAAGGTAAATATAAGAAGGCATGGAGGGGCCTGGTCCCGGGAGGTCTCCCTACTGTAAGTTCAAAGCCAGCTGTATGTCACAGAAGGTGGCCAGAGTATAGGAAGCCGGGGAAGCATTCAGTCCTGGGTCTCTACTAATGCAACAGGGCAAGCAAAGCAGTGAGATCTTGGTGCCCCCATTAGCACAGTTGGCAGGAGAGGGGTTCGGGAACCAGTGGTTTTCACAGTATAGTCCTGGACCGGCAATACTGGCATCACTGGCAGCTGGTAGAAATGCAGGTGTGAGGGGCCGGTGGTCTTTGTTTCGTCAAGTCCCAGGTGCATGTTTGGGTCGAGGACCACTCGTGAAAACAACAGAAATAAGCTGGAGCGGCAGAGAAACTTTAACCAGGCTTCGTTCAAGGAGCCTCTTAAATATCTTTCCTGCTGGTGGGGGAACCATCCCGGAATCTGATGCTACTGCAGCTACCTGTTGAGCCCTGCCTATGTACTAAGCAGCATAATAAGTACAAGCTTAGCAGCTCTGATCCTCTTAACAACTCTGTGAGATAGGAACGGCAATAATCCCCATCATGCATGAGGCTGCTGAGACACAGGCCTTAGGAGGCAGGGCCACAGCTGGTGAGTGGTGGGTCCAGGTTTGTTTAGGCAGTTTGGCTACAGAACCCTGACCTGATACCTGACTATTAGATGATAGGCGAATGGGGGAAAGGGAGGGAAGGAGGGAAGGAAGGAAAGATGCCAGCAGGTTTGAAGGTAAAGACTGAAGGCTTTTTTTCCTGGGCTTGCTTTAAATCAACCAGCCATGACTTCAAAAATGTCACCCTGAGCCTGTCCGGCCCTGCTTGCTCCTAAGAATTTGGTCCCATGGAAAATTTGTGATTTACGTTTCCCTGTTTGCTTCTCTCCCTATCTCCAATGCTCACATGGTCTTCGTGAGTTAAGCGTACACTCCTCCCAGTTGCGAAGGAATCCATGTCTGGCTTTGTCATGGAGAATATTCTGGCGAAAACATGTCACTGTGGGGGACTGTGTGCTGAGGGGCTGATGCGAAGCTCTCTGCTTTGTTCATTTTGAGCCACCCTGCTCCCTGCCTTCCCTTAACGGCATAGCATCTCTCCCCCTTGTGTGCAAAGCCCCAGGGACGCGTCATCTCACCTGCAGAGGCCCTTCGTGGCGGAGGCCTAACCGCAGTAATCAAGGAGGGGCGGGCGTGATCAGGGACTGAGGAGGCTTGATTCTTTGTCTGCCTCTCCACATTTAGGCTTTTCATTGTCACTTTCCTCCCCGCGGGTTGTAATAAACACTTGAACACAGCTCAAGGACAGGAACGAGGTTTAGCTTTAGCCGAGGGACAATAGAGACTATTTGGAAAGTCAGACTTTCAAATGGCAGTTTAGCCTTGAAGAATATATTGAAATAGATGTGCTGTGTGCCTTGAGTCACAATCCCCACATAATTACATTGCGATGTATATTACCTGGGTACTTCTGTAGACTAAAGAAATGGGCTGTTTGAAAGATTAACATCACAGGGTCTGTGTCTGTGCTGATGAAAAAGGCAGGGCAGGAAGCAGACCGTCTGGCTTTCTGCGCTGACCCTGCACTTCCTGTGGGGCCTGCACCTCCAGGTTTATTCAGAGCTTTACAGGAGGTAACTGCCAAGCACACCGTTTCCTTACCATCATAATTAAAAGTTTAATAAATAAGAATTATTTAAGTCATTATTATATGCTTATTATTTGAAGCCCGGATTCTGTAATTCGGCCCATATTCTAACATACTTTCCCTCATTTGTTCTTTACTTACGCAGTTCTCTGTTTTAGTCAATTCTTATTTCCTGTCAGTTTCAGAGGCGCTGTGGTCACCTTTTAAGACATGCTGTCATTTCAAAGCAATGGCTAAATACAACCAAGACTGACAACTATGAATAATTCCACGGAGCCCCTAAAACACTCTGGCATTTCACTCAGAGCCTCATATATGCCACCAAGTTGTTCTTCTTGTTCTGTGCCTCTATTCTCCGTAGACTTCACATCCAGTTACCAGAGAATGCCATCTTCCTCTGAGCAATAATCCAGCAGGAACCATGAGTAAATGGGCTTCGTGAGGACATCACTGTCAAGTGTGAAAATATATAGGGAGATAATCACATTTTCTTTTTTCTTTCTTTGTATATTTCCAGCACGTTCACATCCACATTCTGCCCAGGAAGGCTGGAGACTTTCACAGGAATGACAGCATCTATGATAAGGTAGGTCTGCTCGCTCTGAACGTATTGTTTGATCATGGGCGCTGTCCATGTGCTGAAATCACCCTGAATAGGTATTGGCGTAGAGATGGTATTAAGTGGATTCCACCCAACAATGACTTGGGAAGCCGCAGTACAGGTGAGATAGCCCAAAACAGCCATTATGGGAACTGAAGACAAAGGAATTTATAATGATTTCTTTTTCAAATGAAACTGAGCAAAATCTTAATACTCTTGTGATTTCTGACTTATTTATCAGAATGCTAAATGTTTGCATGGAGACATGTTCCAGTGTCTCCATAGGAGAAAATCTACACTACCAATGGAAATTAAGGGCATTGATATATGATTATTTTAGTCAAATGCTACATTTAATGTTTAAATACTTTGGACTTCAGCTAGTCTCTCCTTATAGCATTTATTCCAAGTCAAACTTTGAATTATCATTAGCAAAAACTATGTTGGTTTGAATGATATAAGTGTAACCCCTATGTTATCAGCATTTTAGCAGTTAGCTGATTTCTAGATACTTCCATTCAAAGGTATAAATGTGAAACCACTATGAAGATCATTCAGCAAGAGTCAGGTGATCTGCTCCTAGGATCTCATGTACATGAGCACCTTCAGGTGTCTGTACATTTAGAGCAGGCATGGGGAACCTTTGGCCCACGGCTGCATAAGGCCCCAGAAATCATTTGGCCTGGCCCTGCCAAAGCATTAGGGGTGAGTTAATTAAATGTTTGACCAAATATAGCAGGCTAATTTTTAAGTTGGTAATTTTGTATGGCCTGAGAACGATGTTATAAATATGTTATAAATGGCCCTTGGCCCTGATTTAGAGTACATAGCCTATGGTGGATCAAGCTGGTATAAAATATAAGATAATTTCAATTTGACTATTTATTGTAGCCAGTGAAGGGTAAATATGTTCCCCACGTGTAAGATCAGATCAGATGGTAGTGGCACCTGGAGTACTTGGTTAAAAAGGCCGTGAGGTTATTTCTGGATGCAACAAGGAAAATGCTGTGATTGATAAACAATGTCTGCCATGGTATTAATAGGAGAGAGGTACCAGTTAGCCATCTATTTGACACTCATGTTCTAGCCCTTTGAGAATGATTTCTAAAATACCCAGTTTCCCTGAGTTAGAGGGAACCTATGCATTTTGTTGTTGTTGTTGTATTTTTAAGGTTTCTTTGCAATAACTGGGCATTAAAATCACTACCTAGACCCTAAAAATAAGAAACTAGAAGTGAGCAGTTAGTATTGAGACTTATAGTTAATTATTCTGGGATTCACTGGGTCCTTGGAGGTGATTGGTTTTACTAGTATGCTTCCTGTTTCCCAAGGCCTGGAATAGACCTGTGTAGGGTGAAAATGCTCTGGTCACTGGTCCCCAGATGCTGGGTGGTGGGCCAATTGCTGCAAATTCATTCCCAAGAAGTCCCAACCCAAGAGATTCTGAGCCAGTGAGATTCTGAGCCAGTGAGTTACCGAGGCTCTGAGGAATCAGTAATTCGGTGGGCCTAAGAAAGTTCCCAGAAGATTCCAGGGCATGGTTAGGTATGGGAATAGTGTCTCTCCCAATCTGGGCTTTCCCAAAGTCATATCTTGTAATATAATTCAAATTCATTTTTGCTGCTTGTGGAACGTGGTTTGAGATTGGTAAGGGCTTAAGTCGAATTGGAAGAAACTCAGAATTATGGAGTAATTATAAAGAGATGCATTTTTAAAAAATACAATTACTGATCTTATTAGAGTAAACTAAAGTTAATAAAATGTTGCCAAGTACAGGCTATTTTAATGAATAAATTAGCAACTGATTTATATACAAGTGAATGCTGCTAAAGTGGTATTAAAAGTGCTTGAAAACTGTTTTCTTTCGGGGCTGAATGGTAACAGTAAAATCTTGTTTATATCTAAATGTGCTTGTGATAGAACTGCAGGGCCACATCTCAGCCCGGTGAGAAACACAGTGTCAGACCCAGAGGCTGTGTGTGACCTTCTCCCCGCCCTTACTCCTTGCCCTTGTGCACAAGCTCCCACAGTGTCTCTAGCCCCACCCATGAGTCAACACATGTCCCTCCCACCCACCTATTTGGAGGACATCTCAGGAGATGTAATTACTGCGAGAGGTGTGTTTTTAATCAACTGGTAAGTCCTATGTCGTATAGACAGTACTCCCTGAGGGAGATTGTGGTATGAGACTTTGAAGAGATCGAACTTGGAAGACAAGCAGAATTGGGTTCAAATCCCATTGCCACCTACTGATTGTGCGGCATTGGGCAAGTCACTTAACCTCTGTGCTTTAATTCCCACATCTCTAAAATGAAGAGAATAAATACACTTCAAAGATTGTTATGTGTAATATGTGATATACTGGACTTGGTACATACTAAGTAAGCCTTTATTAATAGGTAGCTTCTTTATGTTCTTCTTTTTAATTCTGTTAAAATAAAACAACAACAAGCTAGCAGCAGTGAGTAAATGGAGAACCTGGATTCAAAGCCAGAATATTGGATGCTCCTGTTCAATATTCTTTTCACAAGGGTCAGATTTCCAGTTTCCCCTCTGCCTCTAACCACTAATTCTTAGGTTCCTCTTCCTCTATGTATGAAAATGCTTCTCCCGTTTGAATACATAATAAGATGATGTCTAGGAAGTGGCATGAGAAGCGTGAAGCACTGCGTTATTGGTTCAGGACTGAGTGATCGTAATCAGAAAAGATGGAGTGATGAGGGACAGCGTTCTTTATACTGAAGGGAGCACTCACTCGAAATTATGCATCTGCCCATGAAATACAACAGACCGGCTGAGACTGGCTTAGAGGGTGGGGAATGGGGAGCAAGGCAGGAGACTGCTCTCCATAAAATGTAATTGTATTCCTACTGCTGCAGAAATAGAAAGCGATGCCTGAGGAAGCCCTGTGTGATAAATTAGCTAGGAATGTGTGTTCTCCCTGGGCACTGTGTAAGAGGGATGGTGGCGAGCTAGCGCAGGCTCACAGGAAGGGGGTTGGGGTGGTGGAGTCTGGAAACAGTGATCTGGGGAGTAATTGGGGGTGGAGATGTTTTATCTGGAGGAAGGAAGACAATGACAAAGTCTGTGTTTCTAAATGTAGGAAGGGCTGGCAGGTGGCTCCAGGGGGAAGATCTGGGACTTGCAGACGATCAGCTCCGTATAATAACAGGTCGAATTGCTAGCAACATCTGAATACTCACAGTGCCTCGGGGGAGGCATGGGATGCTTTCCATCCCTGGGCCCATGCAAGCAGAGTGGATGGCTGTGAGTTGTTCTTGGATGGACCACAGGGTTTCATGACCTTACAACTCTGGCCCATTTGGTTATTACCACCACTTTTAAGTTATGCAAGTTCTGTAGCAAATACTGTGGGTCTTTTTTGTTGTTATTAGTCTTATAGCGTTTGGGTTACTGCCGAATGGGGTATACTCTTTTTTGTTCAGTTCATGGAAATATATGGTATAACTCTTCTTTGACTTACATGGGACTATGCTCTATTGATTTTTCTCCTTCCCAGCCTACTTCCCATTTTTCCCTCCAGCTCACAGTTGGATTTTGATGGTGCAGGTTTGCTTGTTTTCTCATATGTTTTATTTTACTTGAAAAATATTTTTTAATGATGTGCTTTAGTTTGCATGCGAAGTAGTTTTGATGAGTCTGAATGCTGTTAGGCATGCCACTCACTCTCTAGGTCACTGCAGTTCCCACTACTCCGTCTCTTACCAAGGCTCGCCTCACTCCTTCATGATACCTGCCTGACCCCTGAAGGCATTGAGTTTGAGATCCCTGCCTCTTTCATGAGATTCTCTTCTCTCTACCACTCAAATGTTACTACTCCTAGCACCCTCTGTCCAGTGCACTGTGCATGTCACTGATCTGTAACTTGTCCAGTTCACTGTGCATGTCACTGATCTGTAACTAATTTACAATGCTATGGCCCTGGGTGAGTTCCTGAACTTCAGTAGTGCATCCTACCTACCTTCCTTGCTCCTGTTATTCTCATTATCTCTCATTGCTTTGCTTTTGTCAATATGTTAGTCTTGTTCCCACCTCAGGACCTTGGCATATGTTGTTTTCTTTACCTATAACTTCTTTCATCTCCTCTTTTCTGTCATGTAACTTCACATCTTCATCCTAATCTTGGCTCAAGTGTCACCTCCTCAAAGAGTTCTTGTCATTGATTACCTCATTCCATCTAAAATAGCTAACCCCTCTGTGGTAACTCTATCAGATTACTATGTTTATGTCTTTATTAATTATTACACTTAAAATATTTTATTAGTTTATTATTCACTGTCTGCATCCCTTACTACATGATAAAGCCTTGAGAAGAGGAACCTAATCTGTCATAGAGCGGGTCTCCAATAAATATTTGTTAAATGAATATTTGAGTACATGAAAGAACAAGGTATTGAAACAGAAGAACTTGAAGTTCCCTACTTGTCCTAACATAATGTGAAAGGAGAGAACATCTTGCTTTTCTGAACTAACTCATAGCTGTTTTGGGTGAGGTTCTGATGTGGTGATATCAGCCATTTGAGGGGCTTTGACAGAATGGAATCTGTCAGAAATCAGTGTGCAGACAGCTGCAAATTGTGGTGCCTTAGAAAGACGTGGTGAAGTAATTATAAACCTTGTTTGATTGCTAAGCAAGTCTGGTAAGCACATGTCAAAGTTGATAAGTAACTGGCCTCCCCAAAACCTACACTTCTTTGTCTCTAACAAACACAGATGTGTGATTTGCTGAAAGCAGGATCAAGAACTTCTCTTCCTTTTTTTATTTTTTTTAATCCTCACCAGAGGATATTTTTCCATTGATTTTTTAGAGAGAGTGGAAGAGAGATGGAAAGACAGAGAGAAACATTGATGTGAGAGAAATACATTGATTGGTTGCCTCCTGCATGAGCCCTGACCAGGGCCTGGGGCCGAGAAGGAGCCTGCAACCGAGATATGTGCCCTAGATCAGAATCGATCCCAGGACT